GCCGAACCAAAAGCAACTCAGGGAGGAAAGGGTTTGTTTGACTTACATTTCGGGTCACAGTGCATCACCGAGGACAGTCAGAGCAGGAACTCAAGCAGGAATTTGAGGCAGAAACCATGGAGGAACATTGCTTGCTACCTTGTTTGATGGATCATGGTTAGATAGCTTTCTTATACAGCCTAGGACCATCTGCCTAGGAAATGGTGCTGGCCACAGTGGATGGACTCTCCTATGTCAAGTGACAGTGAAGACAGCCCCCCACAGACAAGCCATAGGTCAGCTGAATCCGAGCAACCGCTCCTTTGAGACTTCCCCATCAGATGAGTCCAGGCTGTGTCAGTTGGTGGTTAGAGATAACTCCCACAAAGGCCAATATTAGAGACGTATCAGGGACTCCTGCATCACATTAGCGAAACAACAAGCAGCAGTTATAGCAGTGAAGCAAAGGATCCGAGCAGACACCAGTGACCAGGCTCGTGAAACACTGTCATTCATCAGGGAAATGCAAAATCAAACAACAGCAGGGCTTCTCTGATATGTGTCAGAATGGCGCTTACAAAAAACAAGCCAAGGACTGACAAGAACATGCGCTGTGCAAATATAGACATTTATAGTATAAAGATAGTTGGCACCGCAGCCCTAATAGAAGCAACAAGAAGCCAGAATCGTCCGTGCTCCATCAAACCCTTCTCTTTTACTCTTACTTTTTGAGACCAGGTTTCACGCATCTCAGGCTGGTCTCTAACTCACTGAGTTGTGAGCTGAGGATGACCTTGAACTCCCAATCCTCCTGCCTTCACCTCCCCAGGTCTGGGATTATAGGCATGGTCCACACCATGCCTGACTTTATGTTTCTGAGATAGGATCTCACCATGTTGCCCAGGATGACCCGGAACTCATAATACTCCTCAGTTTCTCAAGTGCCGGGAACACGGTGCTGCTACCATGTGTCCATGTGTGGCTGCATGGCTGGCTGCACGCTCTGCTCAGCCTGGTCTACAGAACGAGTTCCAGTACAGCCAAGACACAAAGAAACACCAACATCCCCCCCCCCCCGACTCCCCCACCCCCTACCCCCATCTCAGCAGCCTGGCTGCAGACACTTTTGAGAAGCAAATGTCACTCCTATCTCCTCTGGAGGGAAGACACAGTTTACTATGTTGATTTGCTTACAGCACTTCCTCAGGGTGCCTGGGATCAGAGGTTCCTCAGCAGCCTGCGCTCCTCTGCCTCACGGTGCTGAGATCTCTTGCTCAGGCACTGGACTGCCTTCTCTGCAAGCAGGCAGGCTCAGGGAGGTGACTTGGTGGAGTGCGCCATCTGGGCCTGAGGACTTCAAGTGCGGCCATCACGCAGCTGCCTCTGCGGGAGCTGCTCCGTCCCACTCTTTCCATTTTCTCTCTGCTTTGAGACAGAATCAAAATAGCCCAGGCTGGCCTCAGAGTTATGGCTGATCCTGAACTCCTCATACCCATTCCTACCTCTCAAATGCTAGGATTATGTGTAGATGCTATTACACCCAGCTTTTTAGGGGGGTCATTTTTGAGACAGGGTGTAACATGAGGGGCCTGCTTTGTTGGGATTTCTTTCCTGTCCAGTTCCCACAGTCATTAGGTCCCAAAGAAAATCACACAGAGGTCAACATAAGTTATAAACTGATTGACCCATTAGCTCAGGCTTCATATTAGCTCTTAATAACTTACATTAACTCATTATTCTTATCTATGTTAGCCACATGGCTCAGTACCTTTTTCGGCGGGGCAGGTCACATCTTGCTTCTTCCGTGTCTGGACAGGACTGCAGAAAGAGCTTCCTTCTTCCCAGAATTCTCCTGTTCTCCTTGCCCTGCCTCTGCTTTCTGTCTGGTTGTCCCACCTATACTTCCTGCCTGGCTACTGACCAATCAGCATTTATTTAAAACTTAATTGACAGAATACAGAATTGTCCCACGCAACACAAAAATGCATGTATGTTTGTTTTAGCATAGGCTAGCTAACCTTAAAGGTACTGTATGACCCAGGCTGGCCTTGAATTTGTAATTCTCCTGTCTCAGCCTCCTAAATGCCGGATTGACAACAGGCACACTGTTGGATACCTAACACTGTTTCATCTTCCTGGTCCTGCAGTTACTTTCTGCTGTGGCTATAAGAAGGTTTTGTTGGTCAGTCACAGTGTCATGTGCTTGTCATTTCGGCACTGAGAAGACCAAGACAGGAGGACAGGGAGTTCAAGGCCAGCCTGTCCAAGTCAGCACCAGTAGCAATAATAATGATTATTACTATGCTTTCGGTTTAAGTCAGTTTACAGAGGGAAAACCCAAAGCAGAGAAAGCACGCAGGAGAGAAAGTCACACTGACTCCGGTCAGGAGACCCTGGGATGTGGTAGGGATCAGAGTCCTGGAGAGCAGTGAGTGCAGTGGGACTTTGGGGCCAGCATCGGAGCAAGACATTTGTGGGGCAGTGCTTGATTATCGTAGTCACTTAATATCTCTGAGTCTCAGTCTCCAAACCTGTAAGACGGTAATAAACTGACAGTGAGGGTCAGTGCAGAACCGGGTGTTCAGGAAGGGGTTGGGGATGGATGCTCTTGGAACAGGGCAAGGGCACTAATTGGAAAATGGAGAAGATTGAGAAACATCCAGAAGGTGGCGTCACTATCAGGGAAGGAGTGTGCAAAGCCAGATTAGGAAATTTTTGAAACTCCTAAAGGGAATGAAGAAAGAGGCTCACAGGAGAAAAAGACACTCCTTCCAGAGGTGTTCCCTCTATTCTGTGCCCACTCACCTGGCCCCAGTGATGTCACAAGCACAGCCCACCCTCAGGAGTTTTCCTCACCTAGATGGGATGAGGTCATCATTGTGGTGTGAGGTCATCATCATGTACTCTCTGAGATCCCCAAGGCTCTGCTTCTTGCTTTGATTAGACCATTGTATTCAGATGATCTTGGTGGGATTCAGGGCCAACTCTATGGGTTTGCAACCATGCAGCCTGTACTTGGCTGTGTGCCCAGAAGGGCTCTTTTTTAGTGTTCTATTGCTGTGAAGAAACAGGCTGTGGTAATTCTTAAAAAGGAAAAAAAAAACATTTAATTGGGGCTGGCCTACAGTTTCAGAGGTTTAGTCCATTATCTTCACGTCAGGGAGCATGGCAGCGTGCAGGTGGGCACGGTGCTGGGAGCATGGCAGCGTGCAGGTGGGCATGGTGCTGGACAAAGAGCTGAGAGCTCTGCATCATTTTATTTTGTTTTTCAAGACAGCATTTCTTCATGTGTAGCCCTGGAGTCCTGGAACTTGCTCTGAAGACCAGGCTGCCTTGAACTCACAGAGATCCAAAGTGCTGGGATTAAAAGTGTGTGCCATCCCTGACTGACTGAGAGTCTTGCATCTTTATCTTTAGGCAGCAGAAGTAACTCTGTGACACACTGGGAGTAGCTTGAGCAGAAGAGACCCCAGAGCTCACCCCCACAGTGACACACTTCCTCCAACAAAGCCACACCTCTTAATAGTGCCACTCCAAGGCCCACCCTTGCAAAATGTCTGCTGTGGATATTTTGAAATTTTAATTAATTAATTTATTTTTTTAGATTTAGGGGCTGGAGAAATAGTTTAGCAACCGGCTGTTCTTCTAGGGGACCCAGTTGGATTCAATTCCCAGCACCTACATGTCTGTAACTATACTTTCAGTGGATCCAACACCCTCATGCAGACATACATGCTGACAAAACACCAATGCATATATGATAAAAATAAATACATTACAAAACATTTTTAGACATTTATGTTATATCATGTGGGTGTTTTGCCTTCAGGTGTGTATAATATGGGCACCACATGCAGAGAGTTCAGAAGAGGGTGTTGGATCTCCTGAAACTCTTTTATCCTGTAGGAACCCTTGTGGTCACATTAGCCCACTTAGATGATTAAGCACAATCTCAAAGTTCCTAACTTAACCACCACTGCAAAGTCCCTTTGCCATACAGCTGACACACGGGTTCCTGGAATATATTGTGGACATATTTGGGGTGCATGAAAACTGGGAATGAGGCCCTTCTCAGATCACCACTGCACCCTCCTGACGTCTGGCACACGGAAGTCTATGCCTGGCATATACGGCATATACTCAATAGATAATTGCTGAATCAGTAGACAGATAGACGCCATGGGGGAGCCCGCCTGGTTGGTTTGGATGCCCTTGGTTGCTTGGGCATGTGCATTTTTCTCCTCTAAAGTGATGCCCAGGGTCACTTCCGACTTTGAAGTGACAGAATGTCTTAGTAAAGCAACCCTGATGTCACAAGGGGAATTATGACAACGTTGTGGAGGCACGGCAACCTGGAGGTCATACTTCACCCTGCCTGGCCTGGGACAGGCAACAGTGTGTCTTCCTCACATGGAAGCCTGGGCCCCACCCCCAGCCCCAAACAGGCCAGGTGGGGATGCACAGTCATCATTCTTGGCTTCAGAGAAAGTGTGAGACCAGTCCAGCCTACTTCTGGAGGTGGGCGTGGCAAGAGGTGGGAGGAGCTGGGGGAGGGAAAGAGTATAATTAAAATATAATTTTTTTAAATGAGAAGAGACGTGGTCTTCTAAAGTCTGCACCACTCAGAGTCTGGGGATTAAAGGAATCAAGTTCAAGGTCATTTTAGAGACAGTGAAGTGTAAGAAAAACCTGGAGTTTTTTGCTTGTTTTGTTTTATTCTCTCTAGGTAGCTCAGGCTGACTTTGGAGTCTGACCCCTTGTTTCCACCTCCTGAGTGCTGGGATTCCAGGAGTGCATCCCCACACCTGGATGCTTCATGGGTGAGGGCGTCTCCAGGAGACAGGCCCACCCAGAATTCCCTGGGCCCCATGAGCTAAGCCTGGCAGACAGAGTTGGGGAAAGGATGAGCAAGCCACAGTAGTGAGGTGGGCCAGGAGCAGAAGCCAAGGTTACATTCTGGAGAGTCGGGTTCCAAGAGAATGGCAGGACAAGTCATCTCGTTTATTTATTTATTACATGTGTTTATTTATTGTGTGTGAGAGAGAACGTGTGGGCACACAAGCCCATTCACAATCCACATATCACTCACCTAGTCACCCACTTTCATTAAAAAACCCAAACTGAAACTGTGTGCTTTGACCCACGGGCTCTGTCACAGGGAAGAAAACGGTCAAGGCTGCTTTGCTGAGGAGGAAAGCCAGCCCACACGTGTGCCACCAGGGGTGGTCTGTTGTGTTAACCTGGGAAAATATGCGGGAAGGTGAGCAAAGACACACGTCTGCGAGTCCCGAGGGTCTTCGGGAGAGGCTCTGGTGGAGGGAGGAGGCCAAGTTCTTCTTCCTGGGAGCACCATGCCAGAGGAGATCTGGGAAGCTGCGATGTCTTTTATCCCCCTCTGCTGACTGGCTTGTTTCAGGGGCACATATTTCTTCTGAAACTTTAAAGGAAAATCCAATAAAATATATTTTTAGACATTTCCTCAGCTAGGCTCTGTGCACACCACAGAAGGGGCTGCATTTGTTGAGGGCACTCTCTGCCTGGAGCTGCACTCAGCTCTTAGAAACCTCCTTGGGTACCTGGGGGTGGTGCTTCTACCTTTCTGGTCTGTCTGCCCTTCCTTCCTTCCTTCCTTCCTTCCTTCCTTCCTTCCTTCCTTCCTTCCTTCCTTCCTTCCTTCCTTCCTTCTCCCTCCCTCCTTCCCTCCCTCCCTCCCTCTTTCCCTCCCTCCCTCCTTTCCTTCCTCCCTCCTTCCCTCTCTCCCCCCTCCCTCCCTCCCTTCCTTTTTTTGAGACAAGGTTTCTCCACACAGTCCTGGCTATTTTGGAACTCACTCTGTAGAACAGACTGGCTTTGAACTCACAGAGATCTGCCTGCCTCTGTCTCCTAAGTGCTGGGATTAAAGGCACACAACACCATGCCAGGCCCCTCTGTTTTTTTGGAAGAGAAATCTGGGGGTTGAGTGATTTGCCCGACGGAGCACAGCTCACAAAGCACCACATGTGTCAGAGCCAGGAGTCCGTGTGTGATGAAGCAGCAGCTTTGGTTGTCTTGCTTTGGGGTAGGGTCAGGAGTGGGGAGAGGAATGCATCAGATATCTGTCATATCTGTTGAGTGCCTGCTGGGCCACCCCACATTTGTAGAAAAAGAGGAAAGGCAAAAGTTCACATTTGATTGTGGTTTGAATTTCCCAGCAGGCATCAGTGCGCACTGGACTGGGCACTCACTCAGGCTCTGTGCAGACAGGAGCTGCAGATCTGGAAGGTAGCACTCCTAAGGCTTGACTAGGAAGAGTCCTGCCTAGTGGGGGTGATTCCCAGCAGGTGACTTGGCTCTGGTGCCGGCTGTGAGGGGGCTGGGATAATGGGCCAACAGACTGCCACATGGGAGCCCAGCTGGAGTGGAGAATGGTTGCAGAGGTCCCAGAGTGGCTCAAAACCATCTGTGTCAGTAAGGGACTCGTCTCCGCAGCGCTGGTCTATAAACAAACACACTGCAGTGCATGCCTACTGGGCCTTGTGCACGGTTCAGAAAGGGAAAAGTTCTCACCTCATGGAGTGCCAATTCCAGGGCAGGGCAAAAGTCATCATGAAGACACAGGAATGGAATTTTGGCCTTTGAGTTTGAGACACACAGGATCAGAAAGTATGAACCCTGCAAGAACCCAGGGGAAGAGCAGCCACCCAGAAGAACAGCATGTGCAGAGGCCCAGACAGAAGAACAGCATGTACAAAGGCCCAGGGTCAGGAAAGAGCCAGTGTATGAGAGGAGCAGATTATCTATCTGTGCAGGGACAGAGTGGGCTAGTAGAGATTGGCAAGGCCTGGGGTTGGCCGTGGACTCCCAGGCCTGGATGAGAGCTTAGATCCTACCAGACTCCCAATGGAGGTGGTTGTAGGTAAAATAGGAGCAATATAGTGTGGTTTTCCATATAGGAAAGCATTCTGGTTTCTGGATGGAGACTGTCTTAGGCTGCCTTCTGTTGCTATTATCTGAGACTAAGAAACATGAAAGAGAAGAAAGTTTAAATTGACTCACAATTTAAAAGACCAGTACGTAGTGCAGAAGAGAGTCTGCTGGTTCTCCAACCCATAGCTGAAAAATAGAATGACAAAAGGGGCACATGATCAGCTGTCAAGGTAGAGAGAGAGAGAGAGAGAGAGAGAACTCACAAGCATGGGAAAGACATTTACTCCTCAACTGCATAAAGCTCACATTTTACAATATCCTTGGCAGTGGTTTCAGTGTGAATCTTGGCAAGATGAGCCATCTAAGAGCAGAACCAAAGGTGGAGTGTGACTGGGGAACGCAGCAACAGTTGGATAGTCTGGATAAGAAGGGGTGGGGGCCTAGATGATGGTGGGGACCCTGGCGCAGAGGGCCTGGAATGAACAGCATGCACAGGGGGTTACTGGCTTACTTCCATCTACTTTCTCCCCCAAATTTCAGGCTCCTAGAGATCAGAGAGAATGTACAACCTCTAGTATCCAACCTCTGGTTCTTCTTAAGTGAGTCAGTGCCCTAGAGACCAAGGTGGGACAGTTCTTTTAACACAGATGGCCCAGCCAGCTGCTTAGCATTTGCTGGCCCTGGATACTCCCTGCTCAAGCATCTTTTTCAAGTTCTGGGGCCACAGACTCCACTTTTGAGAAGTTCGGATCTTAATAGTGGGAGACCAGGGTTGGAAACCCGGAGTGGCCTTTTGTAAAGTACTTATTGGCTTTTGCTTCATAACAGACAATTCCCAAACTAGGATGGTTTAAAATAGCCAGGCGTGAAAGGCTTTTTGCACCAAATGGATGCTTCCTCAGTTGAATACATCTGTTGTTGCTCATGGCTATGACTGACTGGAGGGTCCACTGTGACCTTCACCATTTTGGAATGACAGTTGACACCAGCTATTGACTAAATTGTCTCAGTTTTTCACAAGGTCTTGCATCTTTTGATAGGCAGGACAAGCATCCTTACCCAGCATTTTCCCTCGGCAGAACAGAAGCTTTTGTAACATTGTATCAGTAGAAATGTTGAGAGAGCAGCTGAGATGCAAAGTGGGGAAACTGACTTCACCTAACTGTGAGCTGTAACTGGAGGTTTCTCTCCTGCCTGCCAGTTCCCAAATAGCCTCTCTGAGGCTTAATGTTAATTACAAACTGTTCAGTCAGTTTGTAATTAATAATAATATAATATAATAATAAGCTCAGGCTTATTATTGACTAGCTCTTACAATTTAAATGAACCCATTTCTATTATTTTATATTTTGCCTTGAGACTCGTGACTTGTTACCTCTGGTGGCTGCTGGTGTCTCTCTGATTCCACCTTCTTTCTCCCTCTATCTCTGTTTGGATTTCCTGCCTGGCTCTATTCTGCCTGACTATAGGCCAAATCAGCTTCTTTATTAACCAGTGGTAATAAAACATATTTACAGCATCCCACATCAGTGAACAGATGAAGAGGCACTTGTGGGTTTGTTCAATCCACTGCACAGGTGTGAGGGCTGAGGCCCACATCTTGGCCCTCTACATCAAACTAGGTGTTACAACAGTTTTGTGGTGAGAAGGAAAGTGTGCTAAGTGTGAAGTCAGTAGTGCTCAGATGATCGTGGGAGCCAGTGGGTTTTGTTTTGTTTTGTTTTGTTTTTGTTTTTGTTTTTTACCAAGGCAGCTACAGTGGGAAGTTGACGACTGGGTGGAGGCGAATGGCTTTCGAGGTTAACGCTATTTAGTGGGGTTTATAGTAAACCACACTTCATGTTGAGCCCAAATACCTTTCTTTGTAAAGAGCCCTAAAGAGCCCTAATATGGTGCTTATGCTCAGTCATCTGTCTTGGTCTGGGAAGAGGGCAGGCCAGACAGCTCCTTAGGCGTGGGTGTGAACAATTATAAGCAATCTCTCTCTCTCTCTCTCTCTCTCTCTCTCTCTCTCTCTCTCTCTCTCTCTCTCTCTCTCTCTAGCATAGCCTTCAATACCATTCCAGTCAAGTTAAAACAGAACCAAAGCCAGATCTGGGGCCACACCTTTAATCACAGCACTTAAGAGACTGAGGCAGCAGATCTCTGAGTTTGAAGCCAGCCTGGTCTACAGAGCAAGTTCTAGGCCACCCAGGGCTACATAATGAGACTGTCTCAAACAAACAAGCAAGCAAACACCCACTAAACAACAGCAGCAGAAACAAAGTCCAAGCCATAAAAACCACTAGTTGTGATGGTCACAGCCTGGCTTGGAGCTGAGGGAGTTTAGTTTGTGGGCATTCTTTACTTGGGGCACTGGACCTGGTGTGGTTGAGAATAGAAAGCCTGTCTTCCTGAGCTGTGGAGACCATCTGCATCTGTAGAGGATGGGGCTGTTACCACCTGATAATTGACAAGGGTTTTCTGGACCAAGTGACCCCAGATATGGGAGAGGCAGGGAAAGGGACAGCTGCAGAGAAGGAAGGGGGTGTGTTTGCTTCTATGGCTGCTGTTCAAACTACACAGACCTTACGGTTTCAAAACAAAATCCAGCCCAAGAGCATTCCCGAGACTCGGAGCCCATGGAGAAGCACTCCCTCTGCTGACGTCAGGCAAAGGCCTTTCAGTTCTTCCCAGCTTCTGGGAGTTCCTTCATCTTGGCCTTCCTTAGCTTGTAGCTGTATCCCTCCAGGCTTGGCCTATGAGTCTCCGTGCCCACTCCATCCCCGCTTCCCCTTTTCCTTCCCTCCCAAGGTTTCAAACAGGATCTCACTAGCCTGGGCTGGCCCAGAACTTGCTAAGAATACCAGGCTGGTTTTGAACTCATAAGAGATTCACTTGCATCTGTGCCCCAAGTGCTTGTTTTACAAGTGTGAACCACCCACTGCTCCTGGCCTCTCTTCATCTAAGAGCTCTACTCACTGGAGGTAGGACCCACCATAGTCCAGGGTGGCCTTGTTTGACTACATTTATAAAGATGCTATCTCTAGGGGCTGGAGAGATGCCTCCTTGGTTAAGAGCACTTCTCTTCCAGAGGATCCAGATTCAATTCCAAGCACCCACATGGAGACTCACAACAATCACACAGCTGCTACTGTTCCAATGTGTCTGGTGCCCTCTTCTGGCCTCTTAGAGTACCAGGCATGCAACATCCACTTGGCAAAGTACACATAGGAAATTTTCAAAAAGAAATTAAGATGCTATTTCTTTCTTCTTTTTCTTTTTCCTTCCTTCCTTACTTTTTTTTTTTTATTTTTGAGTCAGGGTTTCTCTGTGTAGCTCTGGCTGTCCTGGAACTCACTTTGTAGACCAGGTTGGCCTTGAATTCACAGAGATCCACCTGCCTCTGACCTGATTGCTGGGATTAAAGATGTGCACCACCACTGCTTGGTGAACTGCTATTTCTAGTGAATTCAGATGTTGAAGTTTTAGTTGGATAAAAGCTTATGGGCCATGATTTAACTCAGCATGGAGGGCAAAACAGAAGCAGATGAAGATATCCACGGGAAAAATGCAAAGTTGTGGCAGCTCATCTGGGAGTGGCTCTGGCCGGTGGCCACGTGACTGGAGGTCAGAACTACGTGACTCCTGCAGAGCAAAGAGCTTTTTCAGCACACATGGTTCTCCAGGAGCCTGGAACTCTGGCCAAGGGTCACTGGGCATCTTCGGGCCTTGTCCATCTGCCTGTGCCCAGTGCCCTGCGCACCAGACTCACACCACTCATCCCACAGGAAGCTGGCGGCCTCAGTCTGCTCTCTGTTGCTATAACACAAATTCAAAGTCAGGTATTTAAGAAGAAGCTTTTACTTAGGTCCAAGTCCTGGAATGTGAGATGCTCATGAACACGGCATCTGTTCTGCTTGCCTATGGTCTCATACTGTAAGTGGAGGAGGGCACCCTGTGTCCAGATGGCAGTGAAGTAGCCTTTACAACAGACATCTCTCATAACTGGATGATGAATGCAGGAAATGTTCCCTCGGCTCCCCAGCTCCAAGTCTGAGAGCTGAGTGGAACCTAGAGGGGAGGGGTTCTCAGAGGTTCCCAGAGGTGGACATTACAGCATCAAACCCAGCCACCACCCATAAAACAGGTTGGCATTTGAAACAATCCCTGTGCGTGCTGTGGGAAGATGGTGGTGTGGATGCGGGGAAGAGGAACTTAAGCGGGAGACAGTTCTAGAAGGCCAAGAGAGAAATGAAAGCAGCCAGGGCAGCATGGAGAGGGGCTAGGAGAAAGCAACTCTGCTCCAGGACTACAGAGAAAAGGGAGGCAGAGGGATGGGGAAGGGCAGGCTCCTGAGACTGAAGCATGGGAGCTCCAGAGGGGCAGGAAGGGATCTGATGAGGCCTGGCTTCTAGTGAGTCTGCTAGACAGACAAACGGAAGTCTTCAGAAGGGTATCAGGTTTGCGGGAAACTGTTTTGTACAAGTTGAATTTGCTAAGGTTTAGATAGCACATGTTGGAATCCCTGAGCACCCCGTGGCAAAGTCCCCTGGGCAAGGCCTCTGTATCCCTCAGATCCTTAGGTTCTCAGTCTTGAAAATGTAGTAACCTACTAGGTGATCTCAAGGACGTTATGTGGACTGTATGCAAATCCCCTCACATTTGGCCAAATGTATGTACAAAACTATGTAGTGAATCTTGGCTTCTCTCTCCCTCCTCTAGGTATAAGGCACGTGTCTCTATCGACTCCCAGCTGTAGCTCAGGAGCGCTCTTTCTTTCGGGATTTCTGTTTTCTCAAGCATTTCACTTGAGAAATGCTTCCACTCATTTCACAGCCAGGGCAGAGCATGAGGCCTTTTCCTGCAGTTCTGGCAGGGAAGTCCCAGAGAAAACTCTGGTTGGCCCATCTGGGTGATGCGACTATCTTAGAGCCGGGTCTGGGTCGCATGACTTCCTTCTTTCTGAAGGAAGGAAGCTAAAGCCCACAGCCATCTCTCGTGGACTCCAGATGTCCAGGGCAGCTTCTGCTGGGAAGAGACGAAGTTTCCGGGGAAGCCGGGAGTCAGGCTGTTAAACGCTCTTCCAGCCTCGTATTTACTGTCCTTAGCGGTCACCGTGGCAGCACATACTGTCCCAGGTGCTCAAGGACTAGGGATGACTGTCCTTTGCAAATGAAGCCCTTGTTCCAAGCACCCCAGCTCAG